TCCGCTTTCTAGGGATTCCATGAAGGGACTAGAGGACTTTTCCTTTGTCTCACCGCATCCTCGACATCACACCGCCGAATGTCGAAGCCGATTCGTTCGATTTTGGGTCATAGTCAACTGAAATAAAATTCAAGATAATAAAAAGAATTGTAAAACAAGATCCTGTTGGCGAAATATTGGACTGATGTTATAGACATGTAATGGTCATGATCTAACCCCATCTATTGGCCTATGACTGAAGAATCAGCGGATCAGAGGTATCATTAAAATATACTCTTGTAGATCGGAAAATCCAGTTGATACATCGCCACATCATAGTCTCTGACTGCATGAATCTAAGTTCAATCAAAGGCCATCTAGCAACCTTATTGGCCCAGGAGAACCACAACCTCATGCTTGTCCCGAAGAAAAGTAGTAGTACTACTTTTGTTGTCCAGAAAAAAGAGAACCCCGCTTTCAGGTCATCCCCTCTCCCTCCGATTGTTACAGGGATCCGCGACAATGTAGACCAGAGAATGGCTGCCCTGACTACCTGATCAGGGACACTGGTTGACTAAAAAACCGAACACATGCCAATAATCTTCTTTCCCAGAGCACACATCAACTTAAAGGTCCGGATCCCACCCGTAAACGTCGTAGTTGCTGGACCTACAATCGTCGTATCTTCTGTTCATACTCGTCCATTGCTCGGGTGTGTGCGCATACCATCATCGTGACATAGTCGAGGTACTTCGAATTTAGCCAATAATTTAAAATACAGTACAAAAGACCATGGCATTTCTATGGCTATTCGTGGCCTTTGGCTACCTACTCCTCTACGCATTTGCCTTTCTACAGAGATTTGATATACAGGACATGTACCTGAAGCGCATCGCGAACTGAAGCCGGGACGGCGGAAAATGTCGATCAAGCAAACGAATGAAATTGACATGGAGAAGAAAAACGGGAGGCAAAAATGATGAGTCTTCGATCGAACTACTATGTCTACTTTGGGGTCCCCCACCCCCTAAAACGTCACTCGTTTGACATCGTATTTGAATATGATGCAAGTTTTAGATATCGATACGGGGTTGTCGATATCAGTCATTCGCTGTGCTCTCTTGCAATCAGAATTCGAACCGAGTCGAAGTCCGGTTACATTTATTCGAAGAGGACCCCTGACTATCACTACGATGATCGGGTAAAAGGCGGCTCGTCTCAAACGGATGGTTTGGGATATGTGTGACTGTCAGCTTATAAGGTCTTGGTGATGCTGAGACCGTTGTTGCAGGACATGGTTGTCTTATGACGTATGAATGGAATCAGGGGTGGTTCCTTTATGAGATATGATATATCCTGGATGGGATACGATATGTAACGCTGAGATGTGTGATGATTTATATTTCAGATTTACGCTTCTAGGGGCAAGCCCTAATGATTCGGGTATACAGCGCTATGGGAACTGGAGAAGGGTGAAAATGGGGGGGGGTGGATCATTTTTGAAATGGAATCCATTATCTCTCAAGTTCATTATTCTCTAATCAAGTCATGATGTTGCTCTTTTTTTGTGGGTCGTATAAAAGCCATGCTTCTATATGGCATAATAGTTTCCTTCCACCAGCACCTACGACTCGACTCGCCGTCCTTGCATCAATTTTTCCGAATTACTCATTCCAATACTCGGAGGGCATCCTTAAAAAATAAGACAGATCACATGTGCCCAGTCGTGTGACGAACGAGTTGTGGGAGCCTGGTTTCCACGCCTTGCCGCCAAGACAAATACTATTGAACAGCCACACATGTAGTCGGTGTGCTGCACGCCGAGTCAGTCTGAGCCGATCCACTGGGTGATAGCTCAGACCTGAGTCCCTTTCAGCTGGACTTCTTCAGCTCCGTTGAAACACACTGTTCCTTGCCGTGAAGCGGGGTACATCATTAAGCTCAAACGCCGAATCTGTAACCCAACTTGGCGACATCTATACCTCATAGTTCTCAAAGTTTTAGAACCAGATCTTAATCAACTCTTCGCTAACAGCACTTGGTGTTAGAACGCCACTGTCTGTGATCAAGGCGGATATGAGATGGGGCGGCGTGAAGTCCACCACATCCGAACTATGAGCTACCGACTGTGGCTTGTGCCCATCAGTAATATCTTCTTCAGTGTTGAAGTCAATCACACGTTGTTCAATGGGTAGATCATATTGCCCAAGCGGGTACAGTCGGACAAATTTGTGGCTTTCCGCCACGGCGTAGAAAGGCTTTGCCATAGCCTTGGCAAGAAGACCGATTTGGTAGGTTCCCATGCGAGACACAATGCCTCCATTTTCCACCACACCTTCTGCACCCACGATAACAATGTCCGCCTTTCCAAGGGAGTAGGCAACGGCTGATTCTGGGATTGTAGCCACAGGGACGCCCTTTGCGCGCAGTGCGCGCACTGTTTCCATACCCTCAGGCTCTGCGGAAGAGTCTTTAGCGGGAGAGAGGACATAAATGACACGGAAACGCACCGCAGAAGGCCCACCCTTCTCATCAGCGGCCTTCTGCAATAATGAAGCGACGACTCGGGATCCACCGTTTGTCAATACTGTACTGCCATCCCGAACGAAGCCCCTTCCAAACGCAGCAATCTTGTCCCGGCTTTCCTTAGCACGTCTGATGAACAACCGGCCGTTCGAGAGAAGATGAGCTCTGATAGCGTTGAAATCTCCAGCGGGCCCTAGTTGGCCTGGTCGCTGTAGCGTAGTAATCAAATACCGTTGGAAGAGATCGGTTCCAGCCGAGAGACCAATGGGATTAGGGATTGACTTTTTCAGGTGGGTGGTAGACTTTTCGAGTAAATCGAGGGTTTCCGATATCGTCGATGAAGGAGAGTGTGTGAGAAGTAATACCAAAGCTTCGATGGCAGCAATTGGCATTGTCAAGTCCGGATCCGAGCGCAGCAACTCATTGTAAGTTGCGACAATGCTAGCGACAGATTAGCCTATTGCGAGACTCAAGGGTTAGCAGTGCATGAAACTCACTCAAAGGGCTTAGCAGCTTCTGACGGTGCCGGCGTAGTGGACGCCATAATGACTGTTTGGAGAACACTTGGTGACTTGATAGTCTCTTCAAAAGCAATGGAACTCAATATGGCGAAGAGTCATCGAAACCTTGAAAGCGACGTGGGTAGTGTTTGTGCTGTTTGCATTGATGCCCCTCTCAGTTCGCGCTAGTCCTATTTGGTTGCCCTGCGAGGCCCTTGGCGGTAAACAATCATCATAACATAGACACAGCACATTGTCAACCCACCACCACGATCATTTTACCGTCCCGTGTCGTTTCCGTCAAACTCCAGTACAGAGTGAAGTCTGTCTGAGAAGATGGCTTATAATCACCGAATGAGCCAGCAATTTCGTGGCTCCCAACAGCATCACGGCAGAGGTCGCAAGAAGGAAGATGAGAACGATGCATTGATGCGCCTGGTTAGTATATGACTTAGCTTAAGCAGCCATCCACCCATAAATGCAACTATTTTTTAACAGTGACGATAGCCCGATAAGGAGATTGCAGGATGTATTAACGATATCGGTATACCTTTCACTGCCGCAGACCTTATCAAGCCGAACCCCCAACAAATCCAGATGGTATTCGAATGGTTCGCCGAGCTCCTCATGAACATCACCCATGAAGCAGTAGAGCCTGCAATGCGCGCAGCGGCGGATGATGTTGGCGGCGACTTTCCCGATATTGTTCCCACCGACACACGCAACCTCATGGGGTTCTTCGTCAGCTTAAGAAAGCTTATGATGGAGGTGGGTGAAGCCTTTGCCAGGATTGTCACTGTCTATTTATCCAGTGGCCACAGCTAATCTATCTCACAATATAGTGCGGGGTCAATGATTTTACTTTTACGGACCTAACAAAGCCTACGCACGATCGCTTGATCAAGATATTCTCTTATCTTATCAACTTTGTTCGATTTCGCGAGTCTCAAACGCCCGTCATTGATGAGCATTTCAACAAGTCAGAGAAAACCAAGGCACGGATTGATACTTTATATGCAGAAAACCAGGAGATGGAGCAACGCTTGGAAGAAATGCGGCGGAATCTACGGGCCAACGAAGCACAAGTAAAAGAGAAAGTCAGGAGAAACGACGAATTAAAAGCGCGACTACTTGAGTTGAGACGAAACCAGGAGCGGGTTGCTGAAACATTGGAACGAGTCAAGGCAGATAAAGCCAGACGGCAAACGCAGCTGGAGGAGAAGACGGAGAAAGTCGTGCGTACCCGACAAGAGGTTGAGAAGCTCCGGCCATATGCCATGGAAAGTCCGGTCAGTCTACAGGCCTCTTTGACTGAGCTGTCAGAGAATCTACTGCGTGAGAAGGCTCAAATCGATGCGATGGAGAAAAGGGCGAGAGCACTTCAAACTTCATCGGATACGTTCACTGTCGTCAGCAATGATGTCCAGGCTTGCGTCCGGCTTCTTGAAGACATATCTGTGGAGTTGCAGAAAGAGGAGGAGGAAGAATCACGAGCATCTCGGAACAAGGAAGCGATCTCAGAAAGAGGGAACAGCGTCAGAGAAGTAGAGCAGACTGAAAAGTTGCTACAGCGACAGCTAGCAAGATGGAATGAAAGGATTGAAACCCTGCGAAAGAACGCGCAAGAGAAGGCAGAGGCGGCACAGGCACGGATGGAGGAACTTCGGGAGGTTCAGAAACAGCTTCGTGAAGAGCGTGCGGAAAAGCAGCGTGATATGGAGAGAAGGAGGATTAGAATTGAGCAAACTGAGAAAAAGGTATGATCTCAACCCTTTCGTGGTTGTTCCGATGACTAACTCGCATCAGATGGTGGACCTCAAGGAAAACATCGAAAGTGAAATTCAAAGTGCCCATGATGAGTATTTGAGGCTGGAATCGCATATCAAACTTTACATTACTGAAATGGAAAAGTGTATATGAGTTACGGAGTCATGTTTTTATTTTTTAGGAGTTATATGGTCGGCTCTAGGATACCCGGTTGGTTGCGGTTTTACACTGGAAGAACGATAGAACATAATTCCATAACGCTATTTTGATCCATTTCTTGACCTCACTGATGCTACTATCTTTCATATATGCATGGTATCTGGGGCAGGGTGGTCTGATTCATTCAATTCGAACCATCGTTGGGCGACTCTGTTCACAGGCACACTGCGTCCAAGCCAAGCACGTTCCCCTCTTCGCACTGAACTGTTAAGCAATGGGACATTAGTGTACCACAACATCTCGCCGCGTTCATTGTTATTATGGTTTGCAGCATCTTGACATTCGCAAAGCACAAGATTCATTCCCTCCCTTGAGGCAGCCTCAACGGCGTTGGCAAAAGTCCTAGATAATCCCTGAGCAGAGAACTCCGAAGTTTGCATATGCAAAGCTACTAGGTCAAGAATGGCCATTAAAGGCTTCCGTGTCTTTTGTTCTTCAGTGATAGGTCCTTGCATGAGGTCGCCAGATAAAGGTAGCACAGAGAGATAAGCTCGAAGATTCTCTAATGTCGGGCAGTAGACTACCTTGATCCTGTTTGAATCTGACAGTAGTCCAATAGTTTTTGTCAGGATTGGATGACTCTCCGCAGTGTCGCTTGAATGGGCGCGTGTGATTGCAAGTAATTGCTTGAGAAAAGCATCCCGAGTCGAACAAATGATTAAAACTGTTCGGCTAGCGTCATGATCGAGGATGTATTGTATCAAGTCTGTCACCCAGTTGCCAAGATATATTTGGCGGGCTGATATCATGGTTGTAATGATTTTCCGAATGAAAGGCTAACCGTAGCTGATGGGCTGAAGAACGTCGTCATGGTTATAAAAAAAGACAAGCGATTTCATTCAAGCACCTTAAGCAAGGACATTGTTTAACAGTATTAATGGTGCGTCGCGCGATCCCGGCAAGTTGAATTGGGGAGGCTGCGGGGAGACGGGCAGCAGTTTATTTAATTAGTAGTTCCATTAGGTGCTACTTATCGTCACCTGCCCACTCTCCGCCGCAAACTCTCAACTCTTCCTACCCCCTTCTCTTCCTCAGGGACATTACACCCCCTCCAAACCAGATATTCAGTGTGTGCCCCAAAGAGGGCCTTGGGGTTAAGATGGAGACTATCTCCCGGATATCGTCGATGCTGGAAACAGGTAATCGAAATGCTGTTATCCTCCCATGATAAATCCCGCCGAATTGAGTAGCTGACTGTTTGTAGCTCGAGAGCTCACTCTTGAAGCAGCTCAGTCCGCAGCGATGACCAGAGGTTCCAGTACAGGCCTTACATCCCGCGACGTGACCACCTCACACATCAAAAAGTTACTCGATAGCCGTCATGATCGGGAAGTCCTGGATGGCATGCGCAGGGTGATAACGGTATGGAAGAGCTCCGGTTTGACTGACTCAGTGTTTTTGCTGACATTACCTTGCTGCTGTTAATTAGTTGATGTATCGCTCCGAGCCCTCTCTTCCTTTCTTCTCGGCAGTCGTTAAGAATGTCGCAAATACGAATATCGAGGTTAAGAAGCTTGTTTACATCTACCTGGTTCACCACGCCGAGGCCGAGCCCGATCTTGCGCTCCTGTCCATCAACACGATCCAGAAATCGCTTACGGATCAAAGCCCGCAGGTGCGGGCCATGGCACTCCGCACAATGTCTGGCATCAGAGTGCCAGTGATCAGCCAGATCGTTTCCCTTGCAATTAAGCGGGGTTGCGGCGACATGAGCCCGCATGTCCGCAAAGCAGCTGCGTTGGCCATTCCGAAGTGCTATCGCCTGGACCCAAACACTCTGCCACAGCTAATAGGCTACCTGTCTACGCTGCTAGGTGATACTCAGTATTTCGTCGCTGGGCCGGCTGTCTCCGCTTTCTTAGAAGTTTGTCCCGATAGGATCGATCTTATCCACAAACACTACCGCGGCTTGGTCAAGAAGCTTGTCGACATGGATGAATGGGGCCAGATCGCAACCCTGCGTCTTTTGACTATCTATGCCCGAAAGTGTTTTCCCCCCAAAACTGAGAAAGTTAAACAAGCGGTGTCAAAGGGCTTCTACGATGATGAAGAGGGGGATGACGAGGGTGGCCGGGAATACGAAGTTCCCATAGTGAATCCTGATCTTGAGCTTTTTCTGCGCTCCTGCAGGCTACTTTTACAGAATCGCAATTCCGCAGTCATTGTGAATGTCGTTCGTTGTTTCCTGTATCTCGCTCCGTCAGAGTACCTTGCTGCTGTTGTTGGTCCTTTGGTTGCTCTACTCCGAAGCCCTCAGGATGTGCAGCATATTGTGCTCTACAACATTGTTGCTGTTTGCTTACGTCATCCCGCGCCTTTCAGAAAATATGTATCTCACTTCCTCGTTCATGCCTCAGATCCACCTCATATCTGGCGTCTAAAACTCGAGGTTCTTACGATTCTTTTCCCTCATTGTGGTCTGCACTTGAAGGGCGTGATCCTTAGCGAGCTCGAACATTTCTCCCAGGGAACGGATCCCGAGCTGGTGCGCGAGAGCGTTCGCGCAATCGGACGCTGTGCACAAAGTGACCCTAGCACGGCTGGTCACTGTCTTCGCCTACTGCTCAACCAAATTATTAGCCTGGACGACAATCTAGTGTCGGAATCCTTGACTGTGATCAGACATCTAATCCAGCAAGACCCAGCTTCGCATGAACAAACGGTCATTGAGTTAGTGAAACACCTCGGATTGACGAATAACCCGGATGCTAGGGCGACTATTGTATGGTTAGTCGGAGAATATGCGGGTACAGAACCGGAGAGGAATTTTGCACCAGATGTTCTGCGAATCCTGGTACAAGACTTCGCTAATGAGGCAGAAGCCGTGAAACAACAGATTGTTCTCCTAGGGGCTAAGGTGTATCTACACCACCTTCTAAGGAACCCCCCCAAGGAGGAGCCTCCGGCAAGCCCCAAGGTTGAACATCAGTATAAGAATGAGTGGACCGATGATCAGGACGAGGGGGAAAATGAAGAAAACAACCTTGATGAACAGAAACCTGAGCGGGAGGAAGATAGAATTACTCTTCTTTGGAGATACCTTCTCCTCCTTGCTAGATATGACACTTCATATGATCTACGTGACCGTGCTCGACTATACAAATCCCTTCTTGCTTCGCCTTCTTCTACACAGCTTGCGAACTTGCTGCTCCTCGCACCGAAACCAGTACCGCATGCCCCTAGCCCATCTGAGGCACGAAAGGATCTTTTGATTGGCTCTTCTACCTTGATTGTTGGTCCGGACGCGGGCCCCCATGGTCTCGTAGGCTATCAAAGTCTCCCTGACTGGGTTGAGTTAGGAAAAGAACCTGATCCCAGCCTCCGGGAACCAGATGTCAAAGCTGAGCTTACAGAGAAAGCCCCTTCGACTGCGGGTGAACGACTTGATAGAGCCTTACGTGAGCACCAGAACACTGTTGCAGCTGCAAATAGACAACCGAACGGGCGCCTGCCAGCAGCGGCATCGGCGATGAAGAATAAGACTCTCGATCAATGGTTAGAGGACGATGAATCTGAAGAAGAAACAGACTCCGAGGAAGAGGTTACAGACTCCGAGGAGGAGACTGAAGAGGAGACTGACGAGGAAGAGGCAGAGACCGAAGAAGAGACGGATTCGGATGATGGTGAAGAAGCAAGACAACTCCTAACCCAGAGTGGTACGCATGTTCAGGGATCCTCGAGGGATGTTCTTTGATGATTTGGGAACATTTGGAACTACATGAACTAACCATAGATATACTATATATATAGAACATTGCTCATAAACTCAATGACATAAGCCCACAGAATCCTTCAAAGTTGCTCAACTTTTGAAGCAAACCAATAGTTACAAGAGAATGCCTGACAAAATGATTCAAGTACTTGTGAATAGTATAATGACTTTACAATCATTATTACTAAATTATTCACGGTTTAGTGACCGGATTTTCTATCACGGCTTTCCTACATCAAGGGGGATTATCAATGCATTCAGCTCATTTTCGTATGGGGTTCTGCACAAGATGTATTATGTAGTTTAGCACTCCTTTAAAAAATGTCACCAGCTTGGATATATGTTTGTATAAACTTAATATATGCCATGCTATAAGCAGTAATACGCGATATAACGTACCTAGAGGTTAGTTAAGAGTGCTCGATGAAGCCTAGGACTATAACGAATGAAAATGAATCCTTGTTCACTCCCCGCAGCACGAAGAGGGTGTGCGCTGACAACAAATTCTACTCTGTTGGTCGATTGCAATTTACATAGTAGATTAACCACCTTGGTATAAATGCACAGTTTTCTTAGCTTGGGGTATCCCTCGCATAGTTCTGCAAATATTCCGACATTTGTTTGTCTAATAACCCGAGGCTAGCATCTAAGTTGTTGATTCTGTGAGAGAATAGGTACCTACCTACTAGTACAAACAGAGTTTTGTGCTTTCAAGGTCGGACACCATCTATTCAATGGAGTACTTCCTAAGCTGGTAAATATCAATACCTTAGTCATATGAATTGTATTATAGAGAGCTAAGAGGCAACTAAAGAAGAACAACACTATTGTGAAGGATATCGTAGGGGTGTTTCTAGATTGTAGACAGATTGATGCCTCTATATACTCTCCAGATCCCTACTTTCCAATGATAATGAAAGATAATGACCTGAACTATGTTTAGGACTAAAGAAACTAATATTCTAAAAGTAATTACAATCTCAAAGTCTTGTCTTTACCAGTTGTTGAATTATTTTCAAATATAAACCTAGGTACCTTTTATAGGAGATTTCTAGATAAGCGGTACATGTAACATGACCATTGGGCCGGCCTGGCCCCGGAGCTTGCGGGGTCGTATATACTTACTACACTATATATTTAATTACATGAGACTCCCATACACTGCAACCCCACCTCCATTGCACGGCATATATCCTTCCACGTCTGCCACACATTGCTATTCTACAAGATGGTACGGTCAAGCTTGTCAGAAATTCTCACGGCAGCGTCATTGGACTTGGCTCCCTACGAGGACCTTTACAAGTATTTCCATGCGCATCCCGAGCTTTCCCGGCAAGAAAAATCTACATCGGAAAAGCTCGCGGCACATCTGGCCCAGCTGAAAGTCTATGAGCTTCATACCAATATCGGAGGCTACGGCCTAGCGGGTGTGTTTCGAAATGGCGAGGGCAAGACTGTGCTCCTGAGAGCGGACATGGACGCACTTCCAGTCAAGGAGATGACCGGGCTCCCCTATGCAAGCACCCTCACTATGCGCGATACTGAAGGGAATGAAAAGCCAGTGATGCATGCTTGTGGTCATGACATGCATATTACATGTCTCCTAGCAGCAGCAGAGACGCTTGTAAAGATGCGGGACGTATGGAGCGGGACTTTGATTGTGCTGTTCCAACCAGACGAAGAGCGAGGTGGAGGCGCGCAGGCGATGGTTGATGATGGACTGTATTCCAAAGTTCCAGTTCCTGATTATATCCTTGGTCAGCACGTCATGAGAATGCGGGCAGGAAGTGTTGGTTCGCGCCCTGGAGCCATCATGGCTGCTGCCGACAGCATGAAGATCACAGTCTATGGGCGTGGTGGCCATGGATCTCAGCCTCACCAGACGGTGGATCCAGTGCTTCTTGCTGCACATATTGTCATTCGACTACAAGGTATTGTGAGCAGAGAGATCAACCCAAGCGACCTGGCTGTCTTGACCGTCGGAAGTCTCCAGGCTGGGCAGACAGAGAACATCATTACCGACAGGGCCGAGATCGGCGTTGATTTTCGGTCTGTTAAACTGGAAATTCGGGAACAAATTATCTCTGCGATTCAGCGTATCGTTGAGGCCGAGTGTGCTGCGAGTGGTTCGCCTAAGCCTCCTGTGTTTATCCCCACGAGACGCTTCCCACCTACCCTGAACGACAAAGATGCTGCGTCTCAAGTTGCC